TTCGAAGCGTATCTCACTGGGGAAAGGAAAACTTTCTGCCTTTTCTTTTTATTTTCTGCACAAAATCGATGGACAGGCCAGAACTGTGACACGCGCACGAGTCACACGAATCAAATCGAGACCAGAACGAACTGCACCCTTTGAGGGTAGACGACACAGTGAATCCGAGTCGGGTCGAGAGCTGACTGCTGCCAGGACTACTGCTGCTGCTGCTGCTTCTGCTTCGACCAGCCCTCTAGCCGGGCGCATGCGTCCTGAGCAGGCACGACCCCGAGCAGTAGCTGGGGGCAAGATGTACTCGTACTCTTACTATATGGGTATGCCAATAATTTGATAAATTTTATAAAGGGACAGTGGGCCCGTCATCGTTTAGCATAAAGAATTTCATTAATAAAGCAGGTGCGCACTCTGCTTCTTCCCACCACTGTCACACACACCGCCGGCCGCCACTGTTTGTTTGATCTTATTATGAGCCATTCCGCTGTCGCTGCTGCTACTGCCACTGCCCCTTGCCACTGAAACTGCTGGCAGAGTGGCTTCTGCCTGATGACGTAAAATGAATTGTGAATTGTGTATGTGGATGTGTGGTGCTTTTCTCGCTTTTCCCACTTTTCCTATTGATTTCCCACCTCCTGGCGTCGTCTCCTGTCGAGTGGTTGCCTGACGCACAGCACAGAACAGCACAGGACGAGCGCTGGCTCTGTTTCTGACTTTTTTATGTTACTGGTAGTTTCATTTGTGTGCTTCTCCACCTCCACCTCCGCCCCTAATTGCATTGACATTGAAATCTGACGCTGACGCTGTCGCTGTCGCTGACAGGGGAGTAGCGCCATGAGTAGGAGAGCCATGGAGGGGAAGGAGATTTCCAGGACAATCTTATACTGGTGGCGGCTATATGTATGTCCTGTGAAAGTCTTTTGAATAAGTATGTCTATTTAAAGAGTGCGCCCTACCAAGTTAAAGAACTCTAGGGAATTGTTAATGAGAAAAAGTCAGAGAATTCGATAGGATAAGAATTCTTTATTAATAGTTTTTTATAGTCATAACTCAATTGAGTCTTGGCTTTAAAGTCAAAAACCATTGGAAACGCATAAACTCTAACTTTTTCACCATTTATTTCAAGTATCCTAATATCAAAGAGGTTCCTTGTTCAATTTTTCGTATTTTCCTGTACTTACCAAGAGCATGACTGATAAAATGCTACCGGCCTATAAAGATTCCAGTCTACACAGGTAATCTGTCAAGGTAATCCTATCAGATAGTTATAGTATCTATGAGTCTTAAGACTACTGCTACGAGTGCATAGGTCTCTACTAGGTCCATATGGTCGATATGTATATATAAACTGTTTCGGATTGTGACTGTTTCTGGCTAACAATTGGCTACCACAGGCCTTCGGCTCAAGGCAATCTTGGAGCAGTTTCCGGGTGCCGATCGCAAATGAGCAAAAGCATACGACTTGAGTTTACATACATATGTATGTACTTATTCCGGCTTTACTCATCATCAATACGATCATCGTCGAGCCGAAGCCACCGACACCCGAAACACCAGAAACGAAAACTAGCAGCAATAAACTAAGCGAAGGAGGCCACAAGAGAGGGAGAGTTTGAGTGGTTTAAAATCAGGAGCGATCGCAGAGAGAGTTTATTCGGGTGATTTTCCTGCATGCACGTTCTTGCAATGTACATATGTATACATCTATTACTGCGCAGAGTTCGCTTTATTTTAGGCAACAGTGCGTGTGAAAAGCCAGTGGTTGGCTGGATGTGAAATAAGAGGAGCTCTGACCCTCCCACCCACAGACCGAAGGGAACCCAAATAATATCGAGCGTGTGTGGGACGCAGGGGCAGAGTTGAGGAGTGGTGGAGTGAAGGCGGGTCGTTGACGTTGAACGCGTTGTTTTGTTGGCTGCGCAATTTCCAATTTTCCTCGACGCTGCTTTAAGGACTTTCCGCTGTCAAATGTCATTGACAGTTCACGAGCAGCAGAGAGCAGAGAAAAGCCATTTCAATTTCCATTTTGCGAGCTACTGCTGCATCATCCTCGAATCGAAGCAGAAGTTCAGCGACAGTCTGGGCAGAATCTGGCGACCAATTAAAATATCACACTCCATGGAGTGGAGATTTAAAACTGAAAGCTGAAAGATGAGTCATTCTTGAATGTGGGGAGTGCTTGCATTGCAGTCAACTTTTTAAAATGGAAGGAATGAGCACTCTTCAAATGACAGCAGACACGTGGGGTCTCCTGCTCCGACAATTTAGCAGTGGGCGGTCTGGGTTGGAGGAGGAGCCTCCATTAGGTCTAGGACATAAATGAAATGCGATTTTGTTAGTTAAATTATTGCCAAGAAGGCAAGCGTCAGGCAGTAAAAGCAGAGCGAGGAGTAGGGGCAGGAGCCAAAAAGAAGGAGCCAGAACGAAAGCAAAGCCTGCCCCACGCAAAAAGGCACAGACACACACACATACTCTCTCTCTCTCTCTTTCCCTCTCCCTCTGTCCCAGCGGATGACTCATTCGGGCAAATGTTCGTGCCAAGCTTTTCTCTGTGTGCGTGTGTGTGTGTGGCACAACAGTCGCGTCCCAGCCGCAGTGGGCACCTACATACATACAAAGAGCAGAATGCAAGGAACAGGAAGGAAGAAACACCCCAGCCAAATGGTGAATCATCTTTCAGGAGGCAAATATTCTGCCATGCCCACTCTCTGCCCTACTCACCATTTTCATTCGATTTCCTTTGGTTTTTCTCATAATTTCAAGGTTGGTTTACTGTTGTTTTTGCTTCAGGAATGCCCCTCCCCCTCCTCCACCACTTCGGGCCAGAGAATGTTGTAACTTTCGGTGCCGCATAGTCGCTCTATTAGCAAGCATTTTCCATTTGTAGCTCTTTTTGCGGCATACTTATAGGAAACATGGAATAGCAGCAGGACCTCGCCTGACCACACGTGATGTAGTAGACCGCAATGGCAGAGGGCCACGCCCCATTCCCAGGCCACTGCAGCTGCAACTCCAATGGGGAGCACTTAAAAGTGCAGCCACCAGCAAAACATAAATCATTTTGGGAAACCGCAAGTCCCCTCTTTGGCTAACACAATTAATAATACAGGACGAAAAATTGCCCCAGCTCGGCCCGGGAAGCCATTTTTCCGAGCAGGTGATAGCACTCTTGGAGAAAACTCTTGGTTCTACCTCTTTATAACGGTTTTAAAGTCGCGCGCGCTCACCGAAAATTTATGTTTATTGCATGGCCCCCAAACCAACCCCCAACCCCACGCCCATCCTTGTACTCCTTTTGGTCGACGCCTGGGGAGCGGTCCACTCTTTCTGTTTTTTTTCGGAATAAGTATTTTCCCTTATTTATTCATGATACTTTGGAAGCCGTTTATGTTGCGGTTGGAGTGTAGAGAGTAGAGTCCTCTCTAAGCTGCGGTCCTTAAGCTGGCTGCTACCCAGGGGAAAGGACTATCCTGAGGATAGTAAGACTGAAAGCCCGGACGGACCTCCTCTTCCGGCTATCATCTTTTTCAATGAAAGCAAACAATAAGCGTACTTCACACTTAATCTAGCAATCAGAGTGGGCCAGTGTGGTCCGCCTGGAGCTGGTGAGGGGCAGGGCCAGGCATAATCATTCTCATCATAATCAGGGCGTAGCTTTTCCACCAATAAAGCGATGCGCAAAAGGAAAAAACCATACGTCCGCCCACACACACATGTCACACGACTTTGGAGGAGTACGAGTCAGCGTAAGCATCCAGCCCAACCAGAGCCATTGTTCTGCTCAAGTCAAGGCTCATGCAATGACTTTTTGCGTCGCATTAAGGTGAAGGTTGAGTGGCGGCTGTCTGTGCTCTCCTCTCCCCCACAAAGGTCAAAGGTTTCCCAGCGGCAGGAGCACCACTACTTGAGGACTCTGGGGAACTAAGCAAATATTTGAAGACTCTAACACGAACGCATCAACCCCAGCCCTTGGATACAGTTAGTCCATGTCCATAGACTGTGTTGTTAACTCAATTTCCAACTCCGATTCCGATTCCTGACGTCAATCGTTGTCGGTCAAATTTGCACTACGATAAGGCAGCCGCACTCGTATCAAAGTATTCATGGGGGACGGAAGGGGGGCCATGCGCCTGGCGGCAGGCAACATAAATGTGTGTCCCGTTCCGTTCCGCCCTGATGATTGGCTGCACCATATGCTCGCTGGGGCCAAGGAAATTGGCAAATAACAGAAAAGAGGTTTATTTTTAGCCCACGTGGATGAGTGTGGGGCGGCAGCAGCAGCAGCTGCCCGGACGCCCACGCCGGATGCGAGGACCAACAGCTGCTGGACCGCAACAGGAGGACGTCGAGCAGTGGGAGTGGCAGGTGGCAGGTCCACCCTGCGGGACATGCGTGCGCAGTTCTCGAGAAGGAAAGCAATTGGCCTATTGATTTTTCCCAGAAATACCCGAATACAGCACGGGATGTGGATTTTTACCACAAAATGTTTTTATCATAAATCGAATTAGTTTTTGGAGTTACTTACATTCAAACGGAGACTCCTTTGGCGACTCTTCCTATGGCGCCTGGAATGTGGGAAACACTTTCTTTTGATTTCTGCTTGCCTATTTAATCACAATCACAATTAATGGCTGCTTAATTGCACTCAATTTGAACGATTTTCTTAGGTTTAATTGGGATTCAGCACCAAAACACGTAGATTTCGTTCCTTAGTTTTTGATTTAAATTCTATTTTGATTGAATTTGAGGTCGGCGATGGCCATTACGAGAACACGCAACAAACGACTCTGCCAGCGGTTGGTGGCCATTTGTTGGGGCATTTTCCAGCCAAGGAAAACGGGTGAGAAGTGAATTTTCCGCCCCAATATTTTGTTTTGTTTGTTGGGTTGCTGCAGCGGGGTAACAGCTGATATCGCGCTTAGAGATGACACCCTGAATACATTACGCACTCTGGCTGTGAAACGCATTTATGAGCAGCGCTATCGATATCGATTTTATCAACAGTCTTATCGATACTGGACCAAGAGAAATGTAAGGTTTTTCTCTCTTGTAATTACTTAAATAAAATAAATAATTCCCTATTCTAAAAAAATATCTATATTTTGCAGTAAGCAAACCACAGTCATGTTTACAGCTCGCAAACTCTCCCAGGCAGCGTGGTAAGTGCAGCAATTAATGCAATTAATCGATGCCGGCTCAACCTCTGTCCGGTTACATAAAAAGCAATAAAACAACAATTGCAGCAACATAATGGCGACCATGATCTTGAATATCTACTAATGCACATTGTTGTACCCCCACAGCAGCATTTCAGTGCGCGGCAAGCATTCGCTGCCCAAGCTGTCGTACGACTATGCCGCATTGGAGCCCATTATCTGCCGCGAGATCATGGAGCTGCACCACCAGAAGCACCACCAGACCTACGTCAACAACCTGAACGCGGCCGAGGAGCAGCTGGCGGAAGCCTCGTCCAAGAACAACACCTCGAAGATCATTCAGCTGGCCCCGGCCCTGCGCTTCAACGGCGGCGGGCACATCAACCACAGCATCTTCTGGCAGAATCTCTCGCCCAAAAAGTCCACACCCAGCGACGACCTCAAGAAGGCTATCGAGTCGCAGTGGAAGAGCTTCGACGAATTCAAGAAGGAGCTCAGCGCCCTCACAGTTGCCGTTCAGGGTTCTGGATGGGGCTGGCTGGGCTATAACAAGAAGTCGGGCAAGCTGCAGCTGGCTGCCTTGCCCAACCAGGATCCTCTCGAGGCCAGTACCGGCCTGGTGCCCCTCTTCGGCATCGATGTGTGGGAGCACGCCTACTACTTGCAGTACAAGAACGTGCGTCCCTCGTATGTGGAGGCCATCTGGGACATCGCCAACTGGGACGACATCTCGTGCCGCTTCCAGGAGGCCAAGAAGCTGACTACCTAGGATGCTGCTTTACGTTCTGTGTGTTAATATTTAAGCATCGGATCATAGATCCACACTCTGTAGTCTGAGATTTCGGCAAAAATAAATTGGTAATCATTAGAAATCATTTGTTTGGAACTTTAACTGCCGCATAAACCACTCTACTGCTATTTTCAAACACTGACGCGCGTGTGTAGCGCCACATTTAAATGATGTGTATGTAAGCTGTGAGTTTTCCGTCCAATGCTTTTGCCATTCATTAAAACTTTCTATTGACAAACACAATAACCATATAAGATGTCTGATTTCTGTGTTCCCTCTCGAATCCAGCTCGATCTGACCGACAAAAAAGCACAGAAAATTCTCCAAAAGTATCTAAAGTTTCGTAAGTTAATCCTCTGGCAACCCAACCTTCTTGGCCCACGCACTCACAGTGGTTCCTGCAGCTATTGAAGAAGCAGTTCCGATGGCTCATAAGTCGGTCATCATCGACAATGGATCGGGTGTGTGCAAGGCGGGATTCTGCAGCGACAGCAAGCCAAAGGTGGTCTTCCCTTCGGTCGTCGGGCGGCCACGCCACCAGAATGTGTTGGTGGACTGCCGCATCCAGGACGCCGTTGGTGAGGCGGCGATCAACAAGCGGGGCATGCTAGCCCTGAAGTATCCCATTGAGCACGGCGTGGTCACCAATTGGGACGACATGGAGAAGATCTGGAAGCACACGTATGACCTGCTGAAGGTCAAGCCCGGGGATTCTCCCCTGCTGCTCACAGAGGCCCCGCTCAACCCGCGGGCGAACCGCGAGAAGATGGCCGAGATCGTGTTCGAGAGGTTCGATGTGCCGGCCCTGTACGTGGCCATACAGGCGGTGCTTTCGCTCTACGCCACTGGACGCACCACTGGCCTGGTCCTGGACTCTGGCGACGGTGTCACCCACACGGTGCCTATCTACGAGGGGTACTCCGTATCGCATGGCTGCATGCGTCTGGATCTGGCTGGCCGGGATCTGAGCGAGTATCTGTGCAAGCTGCTGACGGAGCGTGGCCGCAATATGACCACCAGTGCCGAGCGGGACATTGTTCGCGAAATAAAGGAGAAGCACTGCTACGTTTCCCTGGACTACGATCGAGAATTGATGGAGCAATCCGACAGACTCCAGCAGAATTCGTGCAGTTCCGACGAAGAGGTCTACCAGCTGCCCGACGGCCAGAGGATTAAGCTCGAAAGCGAGCGCTTCCGCTGTCCGGAGGCCCTGTTCCATCCCAAGCTGCTGGGGCTGCAGATGCTGGGTGTGCACGAGGCCACCAGCAAGTCGATCCTCCAGTGCGACATTGATCTACGGCGTCATCTATACGATAACATTGTGCTCTCTGGCGGCACCACCATGTTTCCCAATATGGCGGAGCGCATGCATCGGGAGCTAATCCAGATGTCGCCGCCCGGAACCAGCATCAAGATCAAGGCCTGTCCCCACCGACAGTTCGCCGTCTGGATGGGTGGCTCGGTGCTGGCCTCCCTCAGCACCTTCCAAGACATGTGGATCAACCGGTCGGAGTATGAGGAGGTGGGTGCCAGCATCGTGCATCGCAAGTGCTTCTAAATCTCGAAGAATATGGGATATACATATTTAAGACCCTTTTGTTCGGCTATATTTTATAATAATTGTTTTTTCAAATCCCATAGCTCTGTTCTTTCCCAATTCTCAGTTCACTTATGCACTCGTAAAAGCCTAATCATTGCCATTAGCATTTTGATGACAATTCGCGTTGCATTGATTTTAATTAATTGCGAATTTATTAAGCCAAATGACGCATACAAATGTGTGCCGATTGCCACATCTCGCAGCGTGGCACGCAACAGCAACCTTAACTTCCTTAGAGTGTTCGGTTTCCAGTTTGCAGTTTCCAGTTGACACACGTGCAGCGTGCAGCGGTGACAGAACTTGCAACAAAAGGCAAGCGTTTCCAAAAGCGTTTACCTTCAACATAATCATAATCGTCAAAAGCTGCAGCTCCATCATTCTGCATTCAGCATTCAGCTGCACTTGAGGCGCTTTTGTTGTTGCAGTGCACTGCAATTCACTTGATTTTGATCACGGATCTACACGCCGCAAACGATGCAGACCCAAAAGATGGCTAGATTTGAAGGTCGCAGCTTGGATACCCTTGCAGATACTAAGGCTATCATTATCCAATCATGCATTGGTTCGAAACCATGGTAACCCTCTCGTAAAGGGTACAACCAAACCAGTCAACAGCGCGTGCTCGAGGTGAAGAAGAAGTATCTGCAGCTGGTGCTGCTGCTGCCTGACATTAGCCCTTCTAAACGCATCAAAGCCCCATTCCATTCGATCAGAGCTGCGGGAATCTCGCTCGTATTTGAAACGTATTTGAAGTGTAAAGTTCAATAAACCCACCAACCCAGAGCCTGATGTTTGCTCCCAATTTATAGGTAAATTAGGAGCAACCAGGTGTAGGCTGAGGCTGGAGCCTGAGCCTCAATCGATCTGACAGCTGCTTAGAAGGGTTCTACCACACCGTAGAGTCTCCGTAGAGAGACAGTGCCACTGCGGTGACTGTCTATGCTGCTGCTGCTGCTGCTGCCAAGGTTGTGTAAAATTCGTCACTTCACTTTGCCAGCGGGCGGGATCGCATCGGTTGGATCTTTTTGGAGCGGTGGAGTGGCTACTGGCTGCAATTTTGTAAATTGTTTCCATTTGGTTGCCTCATGTCTCTCACGTGGATTTATCCATCACTTCATTTGCCTGCTGCCTGCTTCCTTCTTAAATACACATAAATAAATTCAAATTCGTGAGGCCATAAATTAAAAAGGGACATGAGCACAACATGCCCAATGTGCGGAGAGTAGAGATCGGGAGAGTGGGCACACCATTGTGACATGCCCCGACCCCGACCCGACCAGCAGGGGGAGCGTCATGAGCATCATCTATGTACTAGTCTCTATCTGCAGTCTGTAGTCTGCGTTTGTCTCTTCTCTGGGTCTCTGGGCCTCGTGGAGCAGTCTCTGGCATGTCTGGCATGTCTGGCACTTCGATGATGTCGCCGAAGTAGCTAATTTCATATGCATGCAATGGAGCGAAACTAAATGTTTCGGCGGTGGTGAGGTAAGGTGAGGTGAGGTGGGGATGTTTATGCCAGCCATGGACCATGGATTTCCCTATCATCATCCCATTCCATTTCGTTGTTTACCTAGCCTCAATTTATAGTTCGCTACGCAGTATTTACCCAGCACTCCCCCGCAGTGCAGGGACGCGGGTACGCGGTGTACCTGTTGCTCTCCTGTCACAGCAAATTAAGGGAGAATGGATATTTATGCGAACCCAAAGAGAAAAACAACATAAATATACTCTCATAGAGAGTGGATGCTCTGAATACCCTTTCACACATTATAAACATCATGCAGTCTAGAAATTTTTAGTCTAGAAATTCCACCAAATGTAATCCTTGATAATAAAAAAAAAGAGATTTTTGTTGGATCTTTCGATTCTATCATTCCAAATAATGGATTCAAGAATAATCCAATAATAATAGTTTGGTAGATAGAGATACCCTTAAAAATATAACTTTCTTTTTTGTGTCCTTTTCTTTTGCTGTCCTGTAAGCTCCCAGCCCAATCCTGAAACCCCAAGCAAAGGGTATATCAAATTACGCACAATTTTCACCGCGCAGCCGCCAACAGGGTTGTCAATTTCTGCCCCGCAGCTCAGAGTTTTCCCTCAGGGAACCATAGCCTGCGCCGCCTGGCAGCCCTGGTTCCTTGTCGGCAAGAGACAACCTGTTTGCCCCTAGCCAGAGTTCATTATCCTTGTGGCCACAGAATGAGTCAGCCGGAGGAAACCACAGCCACTGGCGCCCGCCTCAGATGGATCTGCATCTGTGGCCTTGCCATCTCTTTGTACTCTCTGTACGTGAAGATGCAGCTGGACCAGGATGCAGACTACGTGGCCATGTGCGATCTGGCGGAGAAGGTTAGCTGCACAGCCGTCTTCAAGTCAGAGTGAGTGGCATACCCTACTTCCCTTAGAGCTTGAAGACACCCAATGAAACACACTGCTTTCCTCCCTGTAAGCTATGGACGTGGCTTTGGTTTGACACAGCTGCTGTTTGGATCCACCTCCAACTACTACCTGAATCCCCCGAATGGAGCCATAGGTAGTGTCTTCTATGTGCTGCTCTTTGCAAGCTGTAAGTCTGCAGAACTACATCAATATGTGTGGAGATCTAAAGGATTATCTCTTTCGCAGCCTTCTTCGAGCTGCGCTGGATGTGCCTGCTGCAGCTTTTGGTCTCCATTCTGACGCTGCTCCTGTGCTTCTACCTGGGTTTTCTCCTAATCTTCGTCCTGTTCGATTGTTGTGTGGTCTGCCTGCTCATCTATGTGGTCCACACGCTGCTCTTTCTGGAGGTCCATGGGCGCTACAAGCGCCTCTACCTGTACCAACCCAAAAAGATAGCCATCGAGTGAAATCGTTTCTTATTATCGGTATAGTAGTTGTAAAGTATGCAAAAATGCAAATAAATAAAGAGAATCTAAATGCGCTACTACCAAATGAGTTATGTGGGTTGACGGCAACCCGGTGGGACGTTAAGCTGCCGACGTGATCCGGCTCCGATCGTCAAATCTTAGGCAAATCGCCCGCTTCTGACCCGCACGTCTGACACGGAGCAGGATGAGCTTGAGGATGGGGATGAGCAGCTGCCTGCCATGGCCAGGCACGTACCTACTGCTTGGGGCAATTAATTCTGCACGTTCCCATTTGTCGTCGCGACGGTGTCTGAAGCTAAAGCTGAAGGCTGTGTGTGAATGGCGCTACTTCCCAAGCGGTGGGCGGCTGACTGGGAAAAGTCTATGCAATTAATTTCCCATAAGCTGGGGGAATCTCCTCATGTGGGCCGCGATCTATCAACGGAATCAATGAATGAATCAATGGAGTGGGGGAGTAGAAGGAGTTGATCTGAATGAATGGGCCAGAGATTCGACTGATCTCTTGGAATCACTCTGAATGAATCAATTAAAGCACAATTGGAGTAGAAATTCATTGAGATCTATAGCATTCCCTTCATCTGATCTTTGCCGATCTACCATTCAACGATCTGTAATCTGTAAGCCATCAAAACGCATTCGGATGTGAGCACAGATCTACACCCAATTGGGGTCGCATTTGGCACGATATTCTTTAATCGCAGTTGTACTCATACTCGTACCTTTTTCTATATTATATTTGACAAGGCAAACAAATGCAACAACATGCAACAAATACGGAGCTTGTCACAAACGAAGACGGCGACAACAACAATAACAACAACAAGAGCGGCAAGCACACTGAAGATGCAGCAGACGCCGCCGACACATTCACCCAGCGACCGAGTAGACTACTTTGCGCCAACGTAACTCCAGAGTCAGAGACTCAGACTTGGAGATGGAGATGGGCATGGGGGCAGGGGCCTAGGCAGAGGGAGGCAGGGCTCTGCTCTTTGCAAACACAATCACTCGTCTCGAAGATGTGCTGTGCTGTGCGCCGAAAGAAGGCAAATCAGCTTGGCAACCCGCAACCCAGTTGGAAACGGAATCTCGGGGCTGCCTGCCTTCACGTGCGATCCAAGCCAGAGCAGAGCAGAGCAGAGTAGAGCAGAGCAGAGCCATGCCTATGCTTGAGCGTTGATTGAGATTTTTGCTGGCGCTGGCGGGGCACTGCCAGCCGGCAACAGCAACAGCGACAAGCTCCAAATGCAGCTGAGTTTTCGCTGTTTGAAGATGATCGTATGTGGCAGCAGCTGTTCGTGGCTGTGGTTGCCACATGTTGCCACTGGCAGCGCCATCGCCACCGCCACCGCAGCACAGATGAGTCTCGTCTCGGCTGCCCCATCAACTCATAACCGAGGGCCCCGTCGCTCTGTTCTCTGTGTGGTGTGGTGTGTGGTGTGTGTGCATCCTCGACTTTCAGTTTTGCGATCGTTTCATATAAATACGCGACCCGGCTGCAGACGGAGATCAGTCAGAATTCGGCGCTGCTTCGAGGCGCTACACAACCAGATCCGCAGATCCACATCCACATACGCATCCAGATTCAGATACAGATCAGAGATCCCCTATAGCAGCGTGGAATATGTTCAAGTTACTCGGCCTCACGCTGCTCTGCACGGCGGTTCTGGCGCGTCCCGAGCCTCCAGTCAACTCCTACCTCCCGCCGTCCGATAGCTATGGTGCACCGGGGCAGAGCGGCCCAGGAGCACAGGGTGGAGGCCCAGGCGGTCGTCCAACGGATTCTTACGGTCCTCCTGGACTAGGACAAGGACAAGGACAAGGACAAGGACAGGGACAAGCCCAAGGCGGTTTTGGTGGCAAGCCCTCAGACTCTTACGGTGCCCCAGGCGTTGGTGGCAACGGAAACGGCGGCGGACGTCCCTCTAGCAGCTATGGTGCTCCTGGCAACGCCAACGGCGGCGGACGTCCCTCCAGCAGCTATGGCGCTCCAGGACAAGGACAAGGACAAGGCGGTCGTCCTTCCGACTCTTACGGTGCTCCAGGAGCTTCCGGCAATGGCAATGGCAACGGTGGTGGTCGTCCTTCCAGCAGTTATGGTGCTCCCGGCCAAGGACAAGGCGGTCGTCCTTCCGACTCTTATGGTGCTCCTGGAGCTTCCGGCAATGGCAATGGCAATGGTGGTGGTCGTCCTTCCAGCAGTTATGGCGCTCCCGGCCAAGGACAAGGCGGTCGTCCTTCCGACTCTTATGGTGCTCCTGGAGCTTCCGGCAATGGCAACGGCAATGGTGGTAGTCGTCCTTCCAGCAATTATGGCGCTCCCGGCCAAGGACAAGGAGGTCGTCCTTCCGACTCTTATGGTGCTCCTGGAGCTTCCGGCAATGGCAACGGCAACGGTGGTGGTCGTCCTTCGAGTAGCTACGGTGCTCCAGGTGCAGGATCCGGCGGTCGTCCATCGGACTCCTACGGTCCCCCTGCTTCTGGCGCAGGAGCTGGCGGCGGATCCGGTGGTCCTGGAGGCAGTGGCGCCGACTACGACAACGATGTGAGTAGACCCGTAGTAGATTCGGGATGGGTTCTCATCCACACACATCCGTACGGAGCCTGACATGCGACATGCGACACTCGACACCTCTCCGCCCCTGCTGCACAGCGCCTTGATGCACGCCCTCGCCCTGATCTCTTGCTGGTTCTCTTGGTAGTTCTCAATCTCTCTCTCTCTCTCTCTGTACCTCTCTCTGCACCGCTTGCTTGCGCCTTCCCCCTACTGCTCTTGATCTCTTGTCTCTATCTGTCTATTTCTCTCTCTTTCTCCACACGCCCCCCGCTCCTCGGTATCGCCCCTCGCTCTGCTATGCTCTGCGCCGCAGGAGCCGGCTAAGTACGAGTTTAATTACCAGGTCGAGGACGCCCCCAGTGGGCTCTCGTTCGGGCATTCAGAGATGCGCGACGGTGACTTCACCACCGGCCAGTACAATGTCCTGTTGCCCGACGGAAGGAAGCAAGTAAGCGCCGAGCCGGACGAGACGGCGGCGGGCAACAGGCGATGATCCTTCCCTGCTCCGCTCCCGCCACTGCTATGTCACTGCTAACCTCTCTCTTCTCTCTGGCTTTCTTTACCCGCAGATCGTCGAGTACGAGGCGGACCAGCAGGGATATCGGCCACAGATCCGCTACGAGGGCGAGGCCAACGATGGGGGCGCCAGCGGTCCTGGTGGCCAGAATCTGGGCGCCGATGGCTACTCGAGCGGACGTCCTGGAGGCAATGGCAACGGTGGGCGCCCAGGAGGTCAGGAACTAGGACAGAACGGTTACTCCGGCGGACGCCCTGGTGGACAGGATCTAGGACAGAATGGTTACTCCGGCGGACGCCCTGGTGGACAGGATCTTGGTCGTGATGGCTATTCCGGTGGGCGCCCAGGAGGTCAGGATCTTGGACAGAATGGTTACTCCGGTGGACGTCCTGGCGGTCAAGACTTGGGCGCCAGTGGCTACTCTGGTGGGCGTCCTGGCGGCCAGGATTTAGGACAGAATGGTTATTCTGGTGGACGCCCAGGTGGTCAAGACTTGGGCGCCGGTGGCTACTCCGGTGGACGTCCTGGTGGCCAGGATCTGGGACAGAATGGTTACTCCAGCGGTCGACCCGGCGGCAACGGTGGAAATGCTGGCAGCGACGGCGGCCGGGTGATCATCGCTGGTCGTGTCACCGGCCCGGATGGCAGCGATCAGGGACAAGGCTTCTCCGGCGGTCGTCCTGGAGGCAATAGCAACGGTGGACGCCAGATCGGTGGTCAGGATCTAGGTCGCGATGGCTATTCCGGTGGACGTCCTGGCGGTCAAGACTTGGGCGCAGGTGGCTACTCCGGTGGGCGTCCAGGTGGTCAAGATCTCGGCCAGAATGGTTACTCCAGCGGCAAGCCACAGGGTCAGGGTCAGGGTCAGGGCCGCAATGGCTTCGGTCCCGGCGGCCAGAACGGCGACAATGACGGCAGTGGCTACAGATACTAGACGACAGGCAATACTCGTACACGTAGATCGATTCCAGGACACATTAGCTAGAACTTTCATTACCTAGTACTTAAGACTTTCTAGAACTATGACCCCCTCCTCTCCTCATTCTTAGCCCAATCTTAAGACTCCATCTCTATCTCTTACTCATCTTGGGGTGTATCATGCCTATTCCTTCGATCTACCATCGTCCCCAAGACTCCGATTAGAATAAGTTCATATTGTTGTAGATGCAAGTGCAAGAAAATAACCCAAAAAAAAAAATTAATTAAATGATTAACGAATATTTGATAAATATTTAAGTAATGAAATAAACGATAAATACCTACAAATACAACACACCCTGTCGGGTTTTCATTTGGTCGGGTTTCATTTACCTCTTTCTCTTTTTAACACACACACACACACATTGCCGCATACGATCCTCTCTCAGCGAGTCGTGTTTTGCTCTAGGCACTCTCTCACTAGCCCCTACACAGCAATGGGACCGGCAGTGGACAAGAAAAACGGTAAATCTCAAAGAAGGGCAACAATCTCGTAGTGAATTCTTGGACGGCAAACAGACAGCAAAATGTCGTGTCGGCATTTGTGGTTCAATTCTTCCTAAATTCTTGTATATTTTGTAAATATGATGCGAATACGAAGGTTGTAAACGAATATGCGGTAACCTTAAATTTCGATGCCTGACCTAAGAGGTAGGATTCAATTTCGAGAGCCTTCTTTCGCATACAGTAAGAGCTAATCTTGTGGGCGGCACTATAATTTTGGTCCTTAGTGGTTGAATGCTCGAATGGATCGCGTCCGGCTTTCGCTACCAGACTATAATACAAATCCTTAACTGGCTGCAACAACAACTATCTAGATCGATGTGGTCGATCATATTTTCCATGGCTTAGATGTCACTGCTGTTTTCCAGATTGATCTTACAGGCAATTCCTGCGGCAAAACTCCTATTATGATAACTTGTCTATGCGATCCGTATAATTTATGAATTTGGTGACAAGAGGGAAATATATTCTGGGCCATGCGGTTGTAATTTTGGGTTAATTTTGTAGGACGTTCGGCCAGTAAATAAATGGCAAACCCTTTAACATTCGCTTAATTGACATTCAAGAAAAGTGACTCCAGCCTGCCGCCGAGTGGCAACAAAGAGATACATCATCTAGTGAACCCGACCCGTCCCTTCCATAGTATGTGTTCAGGTTCGGTTTTCGCCTGACTGGAAACACCAAAGTACCCAAGTTTCCCGAGTTTTCCCAGTTTCCCCTCTTTCCCGGCAAGTGCAAAGTTTGTCATTAGTTATTTGCACTAATTAAGTGCAAAGCTTCTCTTCGGCTCCATTCCCCCACCCGTCCCCGTCACCCTTGACGTGGCTTTCACTTTCGCTGCTGTCAGTACGTGTCGTGGTTATGTAATTCTATGCCGCATCCTCCTATCCACGAGCCATCCAGCCCATTCCACGGGCCACATTAATGGATTTGCCCAGGCGCACAATGAACGCAAATTGTTGGGAAGGCGACATCGGATTGAATTGCTGCCTCAACACCCCCGCCCTCCCCATTGAAAGTCCAATTTTCCGGAAAATTTAATAGTCACCTTTTGTGTAAACGGATTATTTTGCCAGCTAAAATTCCATTGAACAATGGGTGACATTATGAAAGTGTTGTTGCCCCCCTTTGGGATAATTTTGTTTAATTCATTAGCAACTCATTTTGTACAGGACATTCTGTACGGGGCAGCACTGGGAATATATATTGTACAGAATATATCCTATCGAATTTTCCATCGCCAAAGGATATTTTATAGATAACCGTTGCAGGTCTTTGCCCAACGACTTCTCCCATGTGTGTGGCCAATCAGGCAGAGTAATTTCCACCGCATATACTTGTCTCGTATCCATCCTTTCAACCATTATCCATCCCTCCGGAAAGATCCAGCATCGCTACGCAGTCAGTCGGGGCTTGCTCAAAAATTACCATTTCGTCAGCAGCGAGGACCTCAACAATTTCTGCAATTTTCCTGCGAATCAAAAGAAACCGCTTGCCCCATCACTCCTGGTAACCAACACCCCCCAGGGAGTGGAAAGGCGATTCATTATGGTAAATAAAAATTAAATTTACAAAACACAGCTAGAGAGCTTCGGGCACAGCTTTCACTGAATTTCGAGCAGAGCAAAAGTGAAAATCAATAAATCATTCTGTGGAATGTGCCCTCCGCTCCGGAGGAGCTAGCTCCGGTTCATCCTTTGGGCGAACTTTGAGAAAACGAGAATCAATTGACTTTCGAATGAATTCGGGGGCACGTAGAGTTCAATAAAGTGCAACTTGACCCTGCAGCAGGTGCCATCACAGATACCTATTTCGAGCATGGCTACCTTTTCATCCAAGGACAAAGGAAAACTTTTTAAAGGCGAAAGGGAAAGCTAACCACAGACCGCAAATACAAGTTCAAAAAAGTTCCTGTTGCCAGAACAAAAATAGAGTTTGCGGCCAAATGTGTAACTTTTTTGTTGAGTTTTCTAGTCAATGAAATTACATAAATACTTGTTCTGTGAAATTATACAGAGGTATATTTTTGGCATAATCTGAATAAATTACATGGTAAGCCCTCCCGCTCCAGCCTTTGCAGAGTATCCCGCTTAGAATACCTCAATTGAAATACTGGCCCACGCGTGGGTCTATTATATTTTTACAGCAGACACTTGAGGATTGACGGGGTACCACGAACTCATGTAGATGTGTGTAACATGTGGAAGGAAACGCATCGATATTCACCATCGATCCAATCAGCAGCAACCATCAGTTCTCGTGGAACTCCCGCAAATCGCGTTAGCAATCTTCTGCTCAATAAAATTCACTTTTACAGTTTGTAAGTTTGATTTTACTCCTTTTACGACCTGTCGTACACTGATTCACGCAGGTGAGAGGATTCGACGATTGAAGACGACAATAGTAGCGGGGGAAAATCCAAGTACAATGCCAGCTCTAAGTGTCCCATGCGTGCAGCTGCGTGGCGCTCAGAGGCGCCACAATGTTGCAGGCTGTCGTCGCAGTGGCGTGTGTCAAAGTTGCCCCCAAATGACTTTCCGCTTGTCTTGTCAACCATCAGCCATGCCATCATCCGACGTGAGGGAGCCCCTGGGGCGAGGAGGTGCTGTTCCGAAAGCATGTTCGAAACCGAGTGAAGAAAAGGGCTCTGCTCTCGCCGTGACGCCCTCGCTGTGTTTGAGTTTTCTGGATTGTAATTCAAATTTACCGAGCGCAAGTGCTGTTTGCGGTGGTGGCAATTAATTAAATATCACTCATATGTCAGACAGTGGCGTGGGCTAACGTGACTCGTCTTCGGTCCAAGCACACTCGCGTGCAACACGTGGGCTCCCAGTGCGTATACGTAATGGGGCTGTGGCGTGCCAACATTGAGACAGACTCGTGCGCGTGGGAGGGCTCTCAAGCAACACACTCTTACTCTATCTTTCTCTCTGAGCCGAAGTACTACACTGATTCCTCTTAAACTTTTCATCTAAGCCCAATCCTCTGGGTACCTATAATCGCCGGAACTCTGTTTCTAACTGTTTTAAAAGTTGACTGTTCTGAGCTGGAGCTTCTGTTCTCTCTCTCCTTCTCCGCTTGCGTAGATGGGTTTTTGCTGCCGTAAACTAACACTAAAAGTGCATACGATTCCTGTAAAAATACTCAATGAAAAATTGGTTCTGCTTTCAAGGTGAAAACTGCATTAATTTTGGCCTTTATAGATAAATAAATCCTTCGACTTACATAGTAAAAAGTGTGCTTCCAACATTAGTTTTTAAATATTCATTCCCTCAATAATTACTTCTACTGGCACCCTTTAATCAGGACTATCTCCTTTAGATCAATGACTAAAATTTGTATCATGTCATTAGTTTCTAGGAATTTCAATCCCCAGATAAATTTCCCACTTAAAAAGTACATATACTTTCTGTTTCACATACAAATATACATTAGTTTTCAACGCAAACTTTTTTTTGAAACTTTTATTGGTTATGGTGTGGGGACTGTGTTAGATTAAATTTCGGATCTGGACTTCACCATTTCTCAGCCGGAGGCAGTGGTGTTGTAGGGACACAGCGGAGACTGCATCAGGCAGGCCAGTAGGATGAAGCATGCCTCCGAAGAGGGCGCCATCAGAATCAGGAATGCGGCCAGCAGCACCAGGTAGAAGCACACCGTCGTAGCGATCATCTTTAGCAAACTAAGCGTTGAACTAAGTGATCCAGATCAGATCTTGTTCAGCCTTATATAGCAAGATAATTGCAGTGTGGCAGCTGTCGAAGGGCAAACACCATGTTGCATAAGGCTCGTAAATCCACAAAATACAAAATCAAATATAAATATTGGATATTTGTGAGGGAACAGACTGGTTCCTATAAAACACACCACTACACATGCTTATTTGTGTATACAAAGTAGATGTACAAAGCCCTTTTCTGTCTGTTCCCATGGGTTCTCCTCGCCTTTCGCTTGGCAACACCACATCGGTGTACTGTCCAGTTTGATCAGTTTGATCTGGGGATCTTTTCTTATCAAATGACACTCTATTCGCTTGGCAACACATGATAAGGTCGATGAGTCGATGTGATTTTCACAGAGTTATTTTCGTTGGCCATCATTTTGTCGCCCTCACATTCCTGGGGGCAACTACTAAACACATACCCCCATTGTTCGAGGCCAGAAAGTCCTAACCGTCAAAGCAGACCTCAAGCAGGAGAAGAATAAAAAGGATGATATACTCGTATGATAGCCCGACTGGTAGAAATCGTCATGTCATCATATCTATTTTGGCTTGGTCCTATTTTTCTCTTATAATATAATGGCTTACTCTGAATACCTTTTGGTTTAAGACTTAAAAACTAACCTAAAAACTACCTACCAATAACACTACACACCCTTCTGCTCTCCCATTACAGGGTATAACAAGCACATAACAATATCAAGAAAACATTTGTATAAAAATTGTTGCCGTTGCCAAAACAAATTTCCATTGAGAGCGGGGGGAAACACTCGTTTCATGAATGAAATTCACAGTCGAAGGCAGGCAACAGATGGCTGCCAAGTGGGGAAGGGGCAGGGGCAGGGGAACACCGATTGGGATCCACAGTTGCCGGCGCCTGCGCTCTGCCACGCACGTGGTGGATACTATATTCTCGGTCTCTGTTCTAGCTTTGGCGCGCTTTTATCTGTGTGCCACATGTGGAACGTATTTCGGGGGACAAGCATTTCGGGAGTCGCAGACTTGGGCGCCGCGCCGGTTCCGACGACTTTGCCGAGTTAGTCCTGTGAACGGATTCGCCTGAAGCAGTCGTCGTATCGGTTCTTCTCCGCCGTGAAGTAAAAGTATTTGAAAACCAGAATATCAACAGAATATTTCGCATTCCTCAGTGTCTCAAGAGAATTTTCTTTTGAAGCGCCCTGGGCCTTGACGAGTGCCAAACCAAATACTTTCGTTTGTTCCAAGTGCCAAGTTTTGGTCCCTGCCTTTGACTGGCAAACAATTCAATTCAATTGGAGACAAGACAAGTGTTTAAATAAGACAAGCATCGTCTGGGCACCCTCCTGCTCCCTCCATTAGTCAGAGGTAAGTATTTGGCGGAAAGTTCATGGGGTACGGCACGGCACACACATCCAGAGATCATTCGGAAGTCGCCTGAAGTTTTTCATATCAAAAATGGACATTATATTTTAAAAGGCTTTACATTTTTTTTCTTTTCTTATTTGGCTCTAAGTGCTTTGCCACATCCTCTGGAAAAAGTTTTGTATTTTTTTCCCGAATACCAACGGAAGGGTAAAAGTTCTGTGCAGGTTGCCCCTCTTGAAATTTTTCTGCGTTGACATGCCATTGCGGAGATTTTAATTATTTACTTGCATGAGAGTGAAACAACAACAAAACTCTGTCTGAAGGGGAAAAAGTTTCAACAAAAAATTAATTTAACATAAGAGAAATGCTTGCGGAATACAGGAAAATCATTTGGCAAACCAACTGAGAACAATATTTTGATATAAAGTTTAAGGGCATATGAGCTCTTACCGATCAAAAATTCAAAATAAATTAAATTCCCAACAGGAAGCATTTTAAAGAGCTTTCAAATTCCTTAAATTAGTCCCCCATGCATTTTGAAGAGGAAGCCATGTCAAAACTAAAGACTTTCCCTCTCCACATTTTAGTATCCAAGTATTTCATAACTTAGGGAAGATACTCCTAAGACTCTCATCTCCCAAAGAAGAGACGCTCGCGGTTGGCGGGGGTCAGTATGTGAGGGAGGTCGCAGAGGCGCCTCCTTCAGACGAGCGCCTGTTTGTGCGCCACAATTTCGCTCATTAGGCCAGCGGCGGGGGGGTCGGGACCCCGGAATCTAATTAACTTGGCCCGAACTTCGCTCCGACTTGGAGACAAAGAGACCACATTGTAGCCAATCTTTGTTGTTTGCCTGTTGGGTATTTCGCTCCTTGTTTGCGGCATAGCAGAAAAAGGAACAGTTTTGCATATTCTGAGATAAGAGGCAGCTGGAAAAATGGAACTGTAAAATGGCCCCACGATGATGCCGCTTAACCAATGCCAGGCCAAATTGGATTCCGTATCCGTGTCCGTGTTAGTGCCACATTTTGTGGCTGATCCATCAATGAGTCGGGGGCGTGGAGGGGAGGCGTGGCAGGAAACAGGAAATTAGCATAAGTCAATCAGTCATCTCTCCATCCGGAACGTGTCGGGGGCACACTCATCAGCAATGATCAGATCAAATTTGTCAGCCCAGCCACATCTGGGTCGGTTACAGGTGCAGGATGATGGGTGAACGATGAAGGATGTGTATGGGTGGATGGATGGGTAATTAGGTATCGCAATCACTGCCAGATACAGAGACACAGAGAGATATATCCCCGGGGCAGGCTACCAGCCACACGAATGTGCTCAATTAGTGTATATTTTTGTGTTAATTTCGCTTTTGGCTTCGCAATTGTTTATTTGTGGCGCCACAATGGAAATTATCACGCATGCGACATGTTGCTCTGTGGCGCGTAAATTAATTCAAAAAACTTTCCAGAAGGGAAACGCAATCTATTGGGGATCCGATACGGGGAATACCCCTCAATCTTAATGGCAGATGTAGAACAAGAGGTGCCAGTCTCCGCATCCTGATATGCTCTACCACATGTTTTGCTGGGTATCCTGGGACAAATATGCTTATTGTAATCCCTTCACCGCTGGAACACGCTCGTCCCATCCTCTGGCAGAAAAGTTTTGCGGTTAATAAAATTGGGAAAGCGCGCACAAATTGGGTATTCGTAATGTGCCCACAGGGCCACATTTGTTCATCGCCTGCACTTGACTATCATTTGATTACGACCTCAACACTCTCCCCTCTTCCTCCGATGTTCGTGGGTCGAAAGGGTTTAATCCACCCAAAAAGTTCTGTATGTAAGAGCTTTAAAGTTGGTTCTGACAGTATCTATCCGTCAGTCACTAATGGATGTGGATTATGATATCATTTGCATCCATTTGATGGCGATGACAGATGCAGCCACTAGAGAGCCAGAGAGTGATGGCTCTTCAATTGGTTTATGTTAATGGAAGACAGTTCAATGCAGAAACCCGATAAATCTGTCTTTGAAGGCAGCTTAACGGAGACACGTATTGAGTAAAACTGGCTCATTGAATCGGCCAATATTCAACTGTTATGCTTCACTCTAATGGGTTTCAATGTTTTCCAAAGCCCCAAGTATGCCTCAATTAATCGCAAACAGCAGCAGACTCTTGCGTGGAAACTTTCGCGGCAATAGGAACAGATTTTCCTGGAGAAGTTGCTGGCTTTCAACATTCCCACTTAGGCCCTATTAATTGCCCACAAAAATGGGGATAGGGCTTCTCCCTTGAATGCCACAAATTTTGATTTATCCCTCCATCAGGTGTACTGTATTTTCATGCCGTTTCCCAGGCTTTCCGCGCTTTTCAATCTCGCGCCGCGTAAGCATTAATAAATTACTTTTTATTTGCCCCCCAACACAATGTCAATGCGTGTCCCCCGAAATGGATATTTATGGGGTCTGGTCTCTATATAGTATATACACGTCTCATACATAAATGCGTGAGCAACTTTTGTTTTCGGATCCAGACCTGATTTATTGATGGGGACATTCCGAACATCTTATTGAATTCCATGGCGATTCAGAACCGTATCACCGAATGGTAAGCTCTTAAACTTAATGGTCTTTGATGGTGGGGTTCCAGTACAATGTTTATAATTCTGCAGAATTCTGTAGCTAGGATTTCCGCTTCTTTTCATCCGTTATTTTGCTCTGATTTTGCGATGTTCCAACTTTAAAGCAAATTTCTATTTGGCTCAGTTCACGCTGGTTGTCCCGGGCTATGCGTAAGCCAAGGCTCTGAAATTAATTTGCCATATAAAACTGATTAATGTCCGCGCTGATTATTAATGGCCATACGGCAGGGGTGGGCCAGGACACCCAGGACGCCCAGGACTCTCTGCTGTAATTATGCAGTGCTGATGGGTGATGGTCCAGAGTCGAGCCTAATTATGCCTCCGTTGCGGAAGCATCTATTAACTGATGAATATGCAGTGGGCACCGTTTCCGACAGCTGCCTTATCCATTCCCCAAATGAAGCCCATAAGGTGTCCATTAGGAGGGTCCCATCTGATTACTGATTCAGCTGCGGCCATCCTTCTGGTCCTTCTTTCTTTCTGGTCTTCACTGATACCTGAAAAGTCTCTCATCTCCTGTCGGCATATAACAATCACTTGTCCATCGCTCTGTCAGGCAGCCTTCAGTGTCATTTGGCTGCAGCTGTCGGCCATGCGGGAGAATTCAATTACCGTTGCAGTCAGTCCACCATCTGGAGAATCGAGAATCGAGAATGATACAGGAGAATGCCTGACATAAATAGGAAATTAAATTAAATGAAAGAGATGGGCTTTGAGGCAGATCGACTTTCGAGGACGAATTCAGACGCTGACGGGCTGTCAATAGAGGCAAATGGAGTTGGCAACCTCGCGTATTTCGTTGACAGGTGCGTGGGCGCTTATTCATCTATTCAGCGACAGGATACACCTGTTTGGGGACACGTTATTGCTATTACTCAGTTCCTGGAATTCTGTTTGTCTTTGTGATTCTAGTAGTGATTGATAAATGAACCTTCTCCTGCGGTGGTTCCTATGGATTGTTTGCTAATGTCCCCCGATCCGACCGCAGCCCCGTCGAATGATTTATGGAGCTGACTTTCCATGAAATGTTTTTGCAAATGTTGTCACATCGGGATCAACTGGTTGAGGCACGATGATGCTGCCGCTGCTGTTGCTGATGATGATTCGATGGACAACAGGGGACTCAATTAATCAAGAAGGAAAGCTCTGCCCCTGGCACTCCCCAGGGGCGTCAGGTAGGGTCTGTTAAATATCAGTGGGAAATCAGAGTCGTCTCTCTCACGGACTCGCGTTGACGTCACAGCGGGAGGTGAATTAAGAGGTAATCCTTTACCCTTTCCATGCCTCCATTCCATTCCCAGGGAGGACCCGCTCTTACCCGATGATTAAATCGAGTCATTTATCATAAAATCGTTCTGCGTGTCCGAACCACAGAGGGCCATAAATAATCTCAAGGAGCTGCTAAAGAAAGATGTTTATATCTTGTTTCGTGTATCTTTTATTCTTTTTCGAGTTCCACAATTCGGTCGTAATCGCAGTCGCAATCGCCATTGTTCGTCGCACATTTATTTCCAAGGAAATGCAGAGGGGGAGAATGCAAATGAAAAGAGAGAAAAAATCAAATAAAAGAGCAACTGATTAATTTGCATAAGATTGCCATTCAATTCCGATACCATTGGTCTTTCATTTCGCGCTTTCCAGCTTTTCTTTGCTCATTTGGGGCCTAATTTATTTGGGGCTGACCAAAATTGGCACAAAGCTTAGCCGCAAGCCACAAGCCACAAGCCGCAACCCGCTGGGAATCCGAATGGAGTTTTCCTACGGCCAGGGGCATACCATATAGCACGCTTCATTCAGGGGACATTCCGGAGATGCTCCCAGTGGATTGGCTTATAATTTTCGAACAATTTTAGAGGATAACCCACGACAGCACTTGATGGATTTCGACAGAGAGAGAGCAGGATAATCAATAGGCAAAGTTCTTCCTCTGTGAATATTCTTCTTCTCCCCACATTCCTGTTCTCATATCAGTATCTTATCCCTCATTCATGTGTCCCCTGTCTGCCATTCTTTGGTTTTCCGCTCCAATCCTCTTTGTTTGTGTGCTTACATGCGTGTTCCTGTCAGGGCTCCTGATCAGCATCCCTATCTCTGTGTGCGTGTGCGTGTGTGTGACCCATCCCTCACTCACTTACTGCTTCTATGTGTGTGCCCATCTCTGTGCTTTTCGTACCCTCTTCGCCATCCCATACTCCATAACCTATACCCCATTCGATTTTCCACTTTGCTATTCCTGGCAGACAAGCGAGCATCGCGAAATTCAATTGAATCGCACTCTCTGCCCATTCCCATGCATCAAATGTATTTGACAGGCGACGGAAAAAGGGTGGAAAGAGGAGAGCAAGGGGTCAGAGATATGTTCATTCGACAGGCACGACACCCACGCCCAAACAATCGGTGAGACATGGCCCGCAGGAGACCCACTTGTCATAGTTAAACAATTTGTAATGAATTTTCGAGTGGATGCCAGGGCAACGTAACACAGTTCCGATTTCCAGCTAAAAAAAGGGGTTTGGTTTGTCCCATGCAACGGCAAAAAAAACGTGGAGAAGATACAATATGTGGTTTTAAGGGGTTCCCTACGATCTACAAAAATTTAAGCGATTCTCATGATATGTACAACAGCATCTACTCCAAATACTATCCCTGTATGGGTTCGTCTGCTCTTACCCTCTACTCTTCTTGATAAAGTGTTGGCTGGTAGACAAAACATAAGCAGCTTTTGGAACTATTGTGTGGGAAAAGTATTACATATCCGAGACGGATCTACCATCGGATGAGATGGTAATGGACTGACACTGACCAAACCACACTCGTAATCGCACTCGCGGTAAACATCTCACGCTGATGGACAGGGATGGCCTGTCTATCTGTCCGCCAGTAGAGCAGTGCACTAAATATTTACACAAGTCTTTGGTCAGCATTCGGGCAGAAGGGGGGGCAGCTTTCTGGCTTTTCCCACATGAAATCAATTAAAATATTTGGCCAACTGCTTGCAGCACATTAAGGCAGCAGAGGGCACAGAGGGTAGGGATACTGTAGCGGGCAGGAGGGTCAGAGCATAATAATAACCATAAAAACTAATTGGAAGTGCGCCCCGAGATGTGACTATAAAAAAAATTACGTATACGTATATTCCGCGTGGCAGGGTGCAAAGCATCGACAGAGGGGAGCGAGGGAGAGCGAACGGAAGAAACATTATGTTTGAGAGCGTACAAAATGAACTGGAAAATATCTTCGATAATTGAAAATAATACAAAATAAGAAAAATATATGGGGAATTGAAGTACGATGCCCGCCCGCAGAATCTTGTTTATTTCGATAGCCATCACGCGCCACAGGGAAGTGGGGACTTGAGAGTGGAAAACCAGAACAACGCTAACACCAAATATTCTCAACGGGAAAAAGTTGGCCAATAAGTGTGGGCAAAGAGGTGGGTCGGTGTGTGTACGTCACAGCTGTACATCACATGACCAGAAGAATGCCTATGCGTCGGAACACAAGCGAAAATTAATTAAAATACTTATCATCTTAGAGGCTTTCTCTCTCTATTTATTCTCTCTGGGAAAATATGAGTTTTCTTCTCTCTTGCTGTGGTGTTTTATTAAATTTCCATACCAGAAGCGCCAGCTGGCCAGCAAAAGCGAATGAAAAAGCAAAATAGCGAAAAAGCGGAAGAGCGGAAGAGGTCGAGAGCGGGGCTATTTCAAATATTTGCCAAATAATTAATCACGCCACATCATAACCGAAATCACTGACAGATCCGCCGCCAGAAAGAAATGCCTACGTCAGCCTCCGGAATGCCAGTACCCTAGTACCAGTGCCAGTGCCAGTACCAGTACCAGTATCGCTTCTCATCACCAGACGCGTTCTGAGTTCTGGTCTGTGGCGACTGCTGACTGTTGGCCACCGATAAAGGCACACACAGCTTCATCATCGGAGTCCCTGAGGGAAGAGGCATCCCATCCTCCTGCAGAGATTACGATAAATTTTTAAATAAAGTCGACAGCAGACGCTGTCTGTGAGCGATGGGATATGGGCCATGGTATAGGTATGGGTATGCGTATCCCCCTTGGAGCAATAGAAACAGGTGGCAGAGAGGGACAGCCAACACGAGATGCCCAACACCCCATCAAAGGACGATTTGCAAGACTCTTGTCGGGTGATTAGTCAGCAGTTGGCCGAAATTAACGTAATCAATTACGGCAGCACGCAGCTGCTCCTCTGGCAAAACCAATCCCCGATTTCAACATCGTAATCATTATTTATTAGGGGGCTCTAATCAGGGACATTTGCTTAGGATCGAGTGCGCTGGGCGGGAAGGTAGAGAAACTCGCTGTCGGTCCAAAAGTCCACCAACGACTTGCACTCCCAATTTGGCGTCTTCTTCGGCTTGAGGCAATCGCAAAGTGTTCCCGCCGTCACGCCATCCAGCCCGCCCTCCCGCAGCTGCAGCACCAGCTTGTCCTCTGGCCTGGCGCCCGTTCCGCGGCCCTGGACAGGAATCGGGCGCATCCGCAGCTTGTGCGGCGTGGACACATCTATGTCCAGAAGGATTGTTTTAATGGTCTGCGGATTGTAGATGCTGCGGCGCAGGACATTGTCCGCGTAGATCTCGTAGTGGTCGATGTCGCTGTAGTCGTGCACGAACCACTCGAGAGCCAGCGAGCCTGCGTCCATTCGGCGGGCGTCGGTGATGGCAAGGGGGTAGCTGACCCGCGGGGAAGGCTGCTTCGGGCCGATGCCGTGCAGATCGCAGAGGATCCGCTCGCGCACTATAGACATAGCATTGATGTCCAAGAAGAAGTCCTTGGCCGCCATCTTCATTTCCAGCCGACGCTTGCCCTCGTCCGAGGCCAGGAACTCGGCCTGCTTCACGGCACGCCGCATGTGTACGCAATGGCAACAGCAGCAGCGCTCATCGTAGGTGGCACAGCTGGGGGGCGGCTCGGAGATGCCTTTGGTGGCACTGGATGGATCTGTGGTGTCTTTGGGGGTCTTTGGCTCTGCCTCCTCTTGGCTATTAATGGTTTCGTCGGCGCTGACCAGCGCGAAAGCAAACGACGGCAGGTTCCGGCGGGAATTGGAGGAGCTTCTCCTTCTCACCCTAGCCAGGGACTTACGACTGGACTTCGGAAGAACCTCCACTCTCAAGGGCGTCTTCACAGAAATCACAGATGGCTGAGAACTGGAGCAGAAGTCCGTCTCTCCAGTGCTACTGTCTAGATCCAGGCGGACTGAGCTCAAGTCCTCGGTCTCAGAGTCAGCCTTCTCCCTGCGGAAAAGAGTCAGGTATTCGGGTTTGGGGCTGGTGTGGCCAGATCTTTCAGCGGGAGTGGTCTCGGAATCGCGACTCGGATTGTGGCTATCCCCCCTGAAGTGACTAAGGAACTTTATGATGGAGGTAGCGGACCCTGCACCCAGCACACCGATCGTATTCTCCAGGAAATTCTTAATGGAGGTCCTGACCGAAAGCCACCCAATCTGCGATGTGTCGCTCTGCGAGATTTCCTGCTCTTCGGAACCAACGGCGCTAGCGATGCGGTTCTCGGTCTTCATCCTAGCTGTAGTGGTGTTTGTGGGATCCCTGAAGTAATTGCGACTGCTGGAGGACCGACCGCTGGAGGTCATCTGCATGGCGGTACTCGTGCTGACGGTGCTCGGGAGATCGCTAGACGTCCTTTGCGGAAGACTCCTCGTGCTGATGGTGCTTGGTAAGTCGCTCGACGTCGTCTGCTGTGTAGTCCTGGTACTTTGGCTGGTTGGCAGATCGCTGGACGTAATTTTCAGGGTGCCAGGCGTCTTCAAGAGGCTGATGGAAGGCCTCTTCAAGTTGCTTTTCGATCGGAACTTCGGTTTCGCTGGCAGAGGTGAGGGCGGCGGCAGCGGCGGCGGCGGCAGCTCCATCTCCCCGGGTAGAATGATGCTCACGCGCTTCGACATACTGTGGATTTTACTGCTGAATGATGGATACTAAAGTGGATTTTGCTATGGGAATTGTTGGACAAGTTTATTACAAGTGAAGTAATCACTCAATGGGAAAGTCTTCGCCTACTGCCTGATGCTTGGAAACACACTCACTCTTTTCCCTGTCCGTTGTTTCGTCTAATCACCATCCGTCTATCTGTCCATCTATGTCATTTATATCAGGCTCTCCATCACGACAAACGGCTGGACAAATTCCTTCCTTCTGCCCTCTGGCGCCTGAGCGACGATGTCGCATAATTTTGTCAATATTTTTCGTTGCCAGCGGGAAAAATGGATGGGTGGATGGATGGGGCTGGGATGGTGGAAATTTACATAATGGGCGGACCTTCGAGCGCGCATTAAGCAGGAGAACGTCCTTCCTTCCTTCCTTCCGTATGGCAGCCTTTATTTTCGGCTCTAATTAGGAGAGCTTACAGCTCCGAGCTCTTTCTCCAGGTCTTTCTCTGAGAAAGTCCCCTACAATCCTGTTCCTTAAAGCCTGCGCGGGGCTCTCTTTAAGATCGCAACTCCTGCCGGACGTGTTATTCGGTTTGACTGCGCCGTCTACGCGGCGTATGATTAACCTGCATGCAGCATTACACATATCCCGCGTTGCCGCAGATACAGATACGAGATACAAAAAGAATAAAACCAGGCAGCCAACCAGCCATCCACGCACGCAATTGTATTAAATTATGTTTGCCTCATGATTTATCTAACCAACAAGATGCTTTATCCCGACTTTGTCTCGCTCTGCGGCTTCTGTCGGAGATCGCAGCAGGGGGCCACCGCTGGCATCCTGGCATCCTGGCAACGGGGTGCCCACGGAATCGCCCCTTCTGAGAACTGTAATTGCCTGGCTCCGTAGCATATTTAGATTCTGGCTGTGAAGCATACAGGCCTAGGCCATAAATAAATGCTGTTATCCGAAAACACCTTTTTACGGGGGCTCCACGGCTGGGTTTCAGACCACCAATCCTGCGCCCTCTAAAGCCGACAGAATAGCAAAAGAAATGGCAAAAGACTTTAAGCCAAAAAATGGAATTAATGATTGCAAAATATGTACATAGTATGGTAGTGTGGTATATGGAATTCAATTAAATTGATTGAGGTCAGCGCTGAAGCTTAATCATTTCTCTTCGAAGATTGCAGCCCATTGGGACTTTCCTCTGGCTCCCCTGGGATCAGTGCTCCGCTCCATCGCATGTCGAAGGCGGAGCCTTTAACTTTTTTTCGGCTCCCAGTTCCACTTTCGCTTTCGCTCTTTATCTGCTCCAAAAACTAATTCGAAACTTTTCATCTGTAGAAAAACGAAAGCGAAAAACTTTTCTTCCTCCCTTTCCGCCTTTGGGGTGGGTGGCTCTGATGTATTCTTTGCCTTTTCCAGAAGCTTTTTTCGACAAGTTTTTTAGTGGCATAAATAATTGACTGGCGAATAGAATTTATGACAGCAGTGGGGGGGATGGGCGTTAGTTTTATTTTCCGAGAAAAATCAAGAGAATCAAGAGAATCCAGGGAATCCCTTTAATCCCTTAAAAAAAAATATGCATATTATTACGTACGAACATCTAAGGTAAAATGATAATCAGAATCCGGTCTGTAAATGCAAGCGGAAGGGAAATGTGATGACTCAACCATCAGCATCTGTTACTCCATGGGATTTTGTTGCTAACAATAACTGGGGGAAAATCATAAAAAATCAGACCCTCCGATTACATGAGATTCCTTCTGTGTGAAATTGTATTTATCGTCGAGAGAGTGAGAGAGTGTTTCATTTGCCAGCAATTGACGGGTGGGCTATAGGAAAAAGGTTTGCAGGAAGGGATGGTAAATACTCCCTCAGTGTGGCGTTGCCCGGGAGCGTCCACGTGTAATGGGTTTAATGACAGGCCTCTGGGTCAACCACACACACACACACACACACACACATATGTAGGCGCACACACTTCGTGTGTATGGCGGAATGACGGAGTTTAACTTCCGGCAAGGGGCAGAATGAACTGAATTTAATGGCCCGAACATTAATTATTTCTCTGCTGTTTGGCCAGCTTCAATTTAAAGTCAATTTTAGGCTCTCCTTGGGCATCCATGACCTTCGCGAAAGACCATTCAATTTGGGGAAATTCTGACCCGTAAATATTTAGTGAGAGTCCCAACGAACGCAATGCATCGTTCGCCCGTCCAGCAATCAGAGAGCTCCCGAGCGGGCAGTGAGTGCACTTCGGAGTCTCCATGTTGATTACATTTTTTTGGTGAGCTGAGAATCAATTGAGTCGTTGGCGAATTCTACTTGGCGAATGGGAATCACGCATACGCCTCGTGGGTCACAATAAAAATAAATAAATAACGAAATCGAAATAGAAATAGAAATCAATGGGAACCATCCAAATGACAACCATGGCTGCTAAAGCAATCTAGTATCAAATTGAAATTGAAGAAACATACAGGCTCTCGCTCTCGCTCCCCTTCCCCCCACCAGACACCTCCCCGCACCTAAGCTCGGGCTTATGCCATCTCATGTGCCACCAGAGTGTCAGTGCCATTGCCAGTCCCTGTTTTCTCTCTTTTTTTAGGGATAAATGCGTCTGATTGCGACTTGAAAGTATTTGCGCTTCCACACGAATGATTTTCTATTAGTTTGCCGAAGGGGAAGAACAACAGAACGCCATGAAAGCGTGAAAGATAATCGGCAGGGGATGGGAAGTAGGAGTACGAAATAATTGGATGCTCTGCTTCTGCCTACTTCAGGCTTCAAGGGATGATTCTTTAGGAATTTATCAGGCAATTGTGGATGGGACGCGTGTACTCCGATTGCGTGCGCCGTAAGCCGCATGGTCAGCCATGTTCCATGTTAAGAAGATTCTTTATTATGCAGTTGCACACACAGACACACACACGCACACACACAAACACAGAAACACGACAATGCCACAGCTGCCGAATCATAAATTTTATCTCCATTTCCACACACCGATGAACATACGCAGCGTATGCGTAATATTTATGGGTTTCATAGGTAATGCAACATGCAAAGTGCCAATGCAAATGCATGCGGATGGGCTGGCGCAACATCTGCCCTGATGTATGCAGTAATTTTCAGTTTAAGTTACTCAAATCCCTGCCCACAAAACCATTTGACACGGTTTTTGTATTCTTTCTCTTTCTCTTCCGCTGCAGCACCGCATCGCATCGCACCGCCAACGAACAGGAAACAGACCAGCCCGAGCAAACTCTTGTGGCATAATGTGGAAAATAAAACACGACTCTGTGGCAGCAACCACCCTTCGAACCCTTCAAACCGCAACGTTCCTGGAGACATAGACGCCCTTGGGGGAAGCAAAAGTGGCAAACATTTCGACAAAAAGCGGACTAGTGGAAACGGAAGTGGCCAAAAGCGAGCCCATAAAGAGCCACGCACCCGAAAAGCACCAACACACAGACTACAACTACAAGAGTGGAAGGAATAGCAGAGGAATCACAGAGAGATATAAAGGACAGCAACATCTACCCCGTAAAAACATGTACGCCGCCCTAATGGACATGAGCCAGTCTTTGGCAGCCAGTCTGGCATATGCCCCCCTGGATCTGAGCGGAGTCGGTGTCTCCAATGGGGGGAACGCTAGTGACAGTGGGAGTGGGGGCAACGACAGCCTCGACGCCGACGCGGGGTCATCTTTGGGTCAGCATAATGCCAGCGGCAATGGGCCGTATGTGCCCGTCCTGGAACGCCCGGAGACTTACATTGTCACCGTGCTGTACACGCTCATCTTCATCGTGGGCGTCCTGGGCAACGGCACACTGGTCATCATCTTCTTTCGGCATCGTTCCATGCGGAACATACCCAACACGTAAGTGGCACGCTCACGCACACGCCCACGTACGCACAGTGGGAGGTGGCTTCTGGAAGTACGCGGTGTCTCCTCGGGCAACCCTCGCCGGGGCCATAAATAATAATGTTTCATTCGAGCCGAAAATGAGTTCCGTTGCACCCCAACACGAATGCTGTAATAGCCACTCAAAATTCATGGCCTGACTTATGAGTGGTATTTGATTTTATTGTTCCAATAGAAGAATACACTCGTATATCCACCTCCAAATTAAAAGTTGCCAAGAAATATGCCCAACTTTTCGGCGGGAAATGTACAGAATGTGTGACAATATGCTGTCTGCGATTCGTGAATATTAAATATACTGATACAAAAAACCGAAAAAACTGAATGAATTAGCCACGGAAATGTCAACCGCAAGTTACTCTAGTTTCTCAGAGATCCACAAGCTGCCGCAGTTCGTGTTCTGCGGAGAAAGTTTTTAGCCATTTCCTTGTTAACTTTACAGCAGCAGATACTCGTACTCGTTCTGTAAATATATTGACAAAAAGATACCGACACATAGCGTATACGCAGGGTGAGCCACAGAGACCCTAAGCCTCTTTCATAACTGAAGCCAACAGCTGACGACACAGCTGGAACAAGGGGGGAGGCGGAAAGAGCTATGGTCTAGGCAAATGTTTATTAACTTTTCGAAACTTGTACCAAACTCTGTCTCCTATATCTGTATCTGTATCTGTATGTGCTCTTGCGTCAGTCTCAGTCACTGGCAAAATTCAAATAAATTCAAATAGAAATTCAATCAAAACTTTCTGTGTCCCAGCAAATGTCAGCTGTCTGTCTGTCTGTCGCAAGAAGAATTCGTTTTTCGGTTTGCCCCTTTTGTAAATGAATGAATCTGGTACTTTATTCAGCTCCCATTAAATGGAAATGGAAGTGGCATCGTGGAGGTGCTCTGATTGCCTGCAAATAGTCGCTTTTCGCTGGCTTTTCGGAAGCTGCAATCAAAGGGCTCCCTAATTGTAATGGTGATTGCGATGCGATGGCCATTGCAGCCCATTGTTCGCCCTTCGTTTCCCACACACAAAGTCTAGACTGGGCCGCAAATGTGTAAGATTTTGATTCATGTCACATACAATCGTTAGTGGCGGTGTCTAACAATTCCCTCAGTCAAACTCGGTTCACTGGA